TCCTGCTTCATCTCGGTGATGACTCCGTGTCCCCACCGCCTGGGGTTCCCCGTGCCTGTCTCCCCATCCCTGCACTGTCCCCATGCCCCTGGTGTCTCTGTCCCTCCGCTGTCCCCATGTCCCTGTCCCTCCATTGTCCCCATGATGGAGATGCCCTGGTGACACCCATCCATCCCGTCAGCAGATCCTGAGCACGGTGGAGGCCCAGGCTCCCAGCACCCCAGGGCCATCGGGCTGTGGCCCCGTCCCCATCCCCGTGGCCGTGCCAGTAGTGGCGGTGCCAGGGCCGGGGGTGGCGGCGGCGCTGCCCAATGGGGCCCCTCCAGGCCCCACCACGGCCGACGACAGCAAAACCAACCTGATCGTCAACTACCTGCCCCAGAGCATGAGCCAGGAGGAGCTGCGGAGTCTCTTTGGCAGCCTTGGAGACATCGAGTCCTGCAAGCTCGTCCGCGACAAGGTCACCGGTACGGGACAGGGGAGACAGGACACAGGGACACAGGACCTGGGACACGGGCAGATAAGACATGGGGACATAGGACATGGGGAGACAGGATACGGGGAGATGGGACACAGGGACAGGGGCAGATGGGACACGGGGATGTGGAACATGGGGAGACTGGACACAGGAAGATGGGACAAGGGACACAGGACACAGGTAGATGGGATACAGGGGCATGGGACATGGGGAAACAGTACATGGGGACGATGGGGCACGGGGAGATGGGACATGGGGAGATGGGACATGGAACACGGGCAGATAGGGCATGGGGACATGGAGCATGGGGAGACTGGACACGGGATACAGGGAGATGGGACATGGGGACCCGTGGGGACTGGGACAGGGATGGGCATGTGGATAGAATCATGGGGACAGAGGCAACTTCAGGAACCTCTCTGGGGGCATCAGGTCCTGCAAGCTCGACCACAGGATCCTTGGTACAGGGACGTGGGGACATGTGGGGATGGGGACCCACAGGAACAGAGTTGAAGATGGGACGGAAATGGGCCTTGGAGACAGGGGGTAGGACAAGGGTGGGACGGGAACCGGGAATGGGACAACTGTGCCTGGTGCTGGGGCCACCCTCGGTGCTGACCCCACGCCCCAGGGCAGAGCCTGGGCTACGGCTTTGTCAACTACGTTGAGGCGGGTGACGCCGACAAGGCCATCAGCACCCTCAACGGCCTCAAGCTGCAGACCAAGACCATCAAGGTGCCAGACTCCAGGGTCCCTCGGGGGGGTGGGCACCGGGGGGATGTGGGGGGGTGGATGCTGAGGTCCCTCAGAGTAAGCAGATGCTGAGGTTCCTGAGGGGGGTGGGCACCAGGGGGTCCCTCTGGGGGTGATGCTAGGGGGATCCTTGGCGGGGGGGGGCAGATGCCTGGGTCCCTGAG